AAAGTGTTTGATTACTCACAATTCAGATTATATATACTTTGAAAACAAAAGAGAGTGACAAACTTGGGTGTTTTACCAGGAAGCCTCCAAGCAAGAACCGTTAACCTTCTCATGGAATGCTTTTATCCGTGTTTCCACAAGGTGGGTCCTAAAAAGTTACCTATGTCAAAAAAGAAAATAAGAACCTAACAAAGATGTTCTTGCGGCAGGTCTTCCTGATTCAACGACTAAGTTTCATCTCTCTCCGTATTTCCGAATAATCTTCTCGCGGCGATGCATATCAACAGCTTTCCCTCACTTATATTGGGTTGAGTATCAACGATGAAGCTTCGGAGTGGTTTGGATCTTCGCTCGTGGTGTGATAGATCTTCTTTGTTTTAGGTTTTGTTTTTGTAATCTTCCAAGCTTTGTTTGTCTCGAAATTATGCCATGGGCAAGTGTCTGTCTAGCAATTTGACTAGCGGTTTCGAGTAATTGGCTCTCCCGGTTCGGGATTGAGCTTTGTTTCTCATGTTGAAAGGTTTTTTATAAAATTTACCAGATGACAAAAAAAAAAAACCTAACATAATTATCCCACCCACCTATATCGTAGGATACTTTATGACTCATATAAATTAGATCGAGTTATACTTTTTCGGCGGCAATACTCACCAGATACACATACATACACCACTTAATGAATAAGGCTAAAACTCTGAATGTGTATCCATGTGCCTTTTCTCAAATAATCTACTAGTATTAGCTTCATTTTGCTAACCAGCCCAACCTCACAAATTATCCATAGTGATCGGCTGATGGCTCAATGCCTTCTCCTTTCATCTTTGAGATTAAATTCACTGTTTCATTCATTTGAGAAAAGGCAACATCTCTTTCACTCATTTCGTCAAAGACCCGTTTTGCTTCTCTCAAGTTTCCACATCTTGCGTACATGAAGATCAAAGACCTGTATCCCGAAACGCTAAGCTTGATCTGGTTCTTAGCAATGTACTAGTTCACAATCCAGTCACCTAATTCTATATCATCCATATGTCCACAAGCTGAGAGAGCACTATCATTGTCACTGCATCTGGTTTGACACCTCCAGAATCAATCATCTCTTTCAAAAACTAGTGCAGGTTCCATTAGCATATCCATTGGACCTAGTCAAATGTGAAAACAAATAAAGTAAGTGACATTTGGTGTAATTATTAACTCGGACATTTTCAGACATTTTCTCATAAAATAATACCTAAGAAAGCACATAAAGACCTTTTTGTTTTATTAGCCATTCAAGGATATTCCATTCCCATGTGATGTACATACATATGGGAGAAAACAATAAAAAATAAATGGGTACCTAACCAGTGTGAATATCAGTTTCTATCCTTAGCCTGTGTTCATGATTCCGTTCTACGTTTTTTAGGGAAAAGATTAAAATTTTATATTGAATCAAAGATAGATTAACAAACTCACCAAAATCTTCTTCTTCAGAATCACAACTTTTCTCTTGGGCCGCTTCATTGTTTCTGTCTGAATCTACAACTTTCCACCTTGAGGCAGATGCGAATATGTTAGAGACCTAAAGCATTAAGTTCCCTGACTCATTTGGCTCCAAATGAAAAAAGTATTCTAGTGGAAAAACTCACTTAAAAGCTAGCATTACGGAGAATGGTATACTCCTGAATGTGGATCCATGAGACTTTTATTAATTACTCTGTTTGCTTCATTTTGCTTGCCAATTCAGTCCAATAAATCATCCATACAAGCATAATGATCTATTGATGGATTTCTTATCGACTCGAATACTTTCTGGGCTTCTTCGAGTAATCCTGCACGGTTGCAAGCTGTCAAGACACTAGTGTAAGTCATATGGTCTGGCTCAATGCCTTCTCCTTTCATCTTTGATAATAATTTCAGCGTTTCAAATCCGTCTCCAATAGCTGCAAAAGCTGAGATTAACGTATTATAAGAGACAACATCTCTTTCCTTCATTTCATCGAACACCCGTTTTGCTCCCCTCGGGTTTCCACACCTTGCGTACATGAAGATCAAAGACTTGTATCCCGAAGCGCTAAGCTTGATCTGGTTCTTAGCAATGTAATTCACAACCCAATCACCTAATTCTAGATCATCCATATGTCCACAAGCTGAGAGAGCGCTAATCATTGTTACTGCATCCGGTTTGGCATCTCCAGAATCAATCATCGCTTTGAAAATCTCAATGGCTAGTGCAGGTTGTCCATTATGAGCAAAACCAGCTATCATCGAGTTCCAAGAAACAACATTCCGCTCAGGCATTGTATCAAAAAGCTCCCTAGCTGAACTCAAATCCCCAATTCTAATATATCCAGAAATCATAGCATTCCAAGAGACAAGATTCCTCTGTGTACCTAACTCGTTGAAAATTCTCCTAGCAGTTAGAATATCTCTGCACTTAGCATACATATCAAGCAATGCCGTCTTCACAAAGCAATTCAAACGGACTTTCCGCTCATCAATCAGCTTCACTAGCGAATGAGCGAGGGAAAGATCAGCACGGGAAGAACACGCAGATATAACAGTGACCCATGTGGTCTCATTTGGTCTAACTCCAAGTCTCAACATATCATTAAACAATCTCAGAGTTTCCTCTGTAAACCCATTCTGTTCATAACCTGAAAGCATAGCATTCCAAGAAACAACGCTCTTCTCCGGCATCAAATCAAAACACTTCCTTGCATTCTCCAAATCCTTAACCTTCGCAAAACCAGTAATCATAACAGTCCAAGAAACCACATCAATTTTACTCTCTGGCATCATATCAAACAACTTACAAGCTTCCTCCTTGTTTCCCAATTTCCAATACCCAGTAATCATCACATTCCAATCAGAACCCATTCTGTGAGTAATTTGATCGAACACTTTGCGTGCACTCTCCACTGACTCATGCTTCACATACATATCCATCATCACATTCCGCACATACGGGTCTCTAAAAAATCCCAGCTTCTCAACAAGAGCGTGAAACAAAACCCCGAACTTTCCAGCCGATTTGATCACAACGGGAAAAGAAAAAGCGTCGGGCAAAATCCCGCAACGCGACCTCTGTTCGTAGAGAAGAAGAGCATCATTCGCCATATCCATCTGCGAAAAGTATCTGAACATGGAATTGACGACGAATACATTGGGGAATGCCACCGAACGGAAAACGAGACGCGCGTAGTGAGGAGGCGCACGGAGGCGCGTGCAGGAGGTGATGAGACGCGAAGCCCAGTAGCTTTGTCGATGGAGAGAGTTGAAGATGATTAGCTGAGCATGGATTTGGTGTAGCTGAGAAAATGTTAGAGCTTTTGAAGCTATGGAAGCAAAAAATGCACTGATCTCTCCAGACATATATAGCTTCTTCAAGTCTTCAATGTTCTCTGTCTCTACTTTGTTTCGAATTCAAGGAAGATTTTTTTTTTTTTGGATTAAATTTGTGTCTCTACTTGATATGAGTGTATACTATATATAGCTTTGTACTAGTTAATATGTAATCTGAGAAATAAAAACATTTAAAATTAAAATTTGAAGAATATCTGTTACAACTTACTAAAAGTCAGTAAAATGTTTATAAAGATAACAAAAAGGAAGAAACAAAAAATGAAGATTTTCTCAGACACCTTCTTCCTCAGACAAACAGATAACAAAAACAAAGCAACGTATGATAAAAAGGAGAAATTTCTGCTTCCAAACCCTAAAACGAAGATGGTTACCTGAAAACAGAATCAAACTCAGATTGCAGACAGAATTTAAAAAAGGTCACAGATTTCAGATTTGTTGTATATATACACGATCATTTGAGAGATCATATCCCGGAACCGCCGGAAAACAACACTCTTTGTCTTCTCTTGTTTACTACTAATCAGGAAACTATTCATCTGATCGTGACGAATTTGTTAGTCCCATGTCTAGCCCAATGGCTCTTAAGATCAATCGGATTCCCAAAGTTAAACCCATCCGATGCGAGTTTCTCAAGAACCTTCTTAAACGCGCCCTGACTCATCTTCCTTCCCGAGATCCTCGCTCCACGGCGTTTGGTACTCATTGGTAAAGGATGCATCGAGATGTTTGTGGTGCAACACGCGGATTGCCAACCACCACATCCCCAACGGTAACATTGCTGAGGAGCTCCAGTGCAAGTGCAGATCGGAACAGGAATCCCCGCAATGTCCATACTCACTCCGTTGATCACCAAGTCGACACTTTTCTTAGCCGGTTTCACTCGAGAAACATTCGTGTTATTGTTGCTGTTCTCATCCTTTGGTTTCCGAGGCTTCTTCGCCTTTGGTGTCGAACCAGCTTTTGAATTAGGCTTTCTCTTCTTAGTCTGAACAATCTCTTCTTCACATTTAACCGGGTTATCCTCGGTTTGATGATGCAGATTCATCTGCATCGATGGGGCTGACGAAGTTTCGGGAAGGACATTCCCGTAGTTAGGAGTGTTTGTTACAGGCAGCATGTTGAAGAACTTATCCTTCTGCTGATTAATCCAATTGTAGCTCATGTGCATAGGAGGATCCGGATGGTATGACCCGATCATCAGATTCGGATCACGGCCGGGTAAAAACGGTTTAGTGTTCCGATCAATATTTGACATTAGCTGCAAACCGAGATTACCTTTGAATGTAGCAGCCGCTGGTTCATAGTAACCCCAATTGCGAAATCCATCATCATCCATTTAAAAGATCTACAAAAATGCCATTACAAAAATCACAAGAAACAACACAATCAGATCCAAAATCAGACAGAACAAGACTCAAAACCTAGAGAAACCAATCAAATCAGACCCAAGAGTTTCTGGATTATCTGTTCGAATGCAGATAAATTAGCCAAAGATCTATCCCTGAATTTAGCCCAAAAAAACTAGCATTTCTCTTATCATAAGATTTCTTAGGGGAAAAATTCAGATCTTGGAGATACCCAGTAACAAAATTAGGGTGGATAAATATGAATGAAATTCCGACATGAAACATTTCTTCCAGACAGCAACATGCAGATCCAATTGGGTTTCTAGATCTGGGGAATCCAGAGCTAGATCTATGGAAACTGGACATGAGTCAATAAAATTCAGAACCCCCAATTGTAAGAAAATGAAAAAAGCGAGCACAGTACACAAAGGTCCAATTGTAATATCAAAATCA